ACGCGGCTCCGGGCGGGTTTGGGGTGTACCGAGAACCCCTCAGGGCACGGCTTTGCCTAGCTCCGGGAAGGGGTTTGCTTCTGCCGCAGCACAGCTGTGGTCACCTCACGCCAGAGCCAGCCAGCCATGGGACACAGGACCCCCAGCAGCCGCCTGTCATCGAAATGGGCAAAAAAGCAAATGAAAATCAACCACCTTCCCCACGGTGCTTTTGCAGCACCGCTCGCTCCAGGGGTGCACTATGGGGTCCCCGGAGGAGAGCACAGGTCTGGCGCTTCCTAGAAGAGAGAAGAGGCGGTCAGCGTGGATAAAGCTCAGCTCTTCCCCACGTCCCGCTGCCGGGCGGCGGCACTGTCACACCGCGCACGAAAAGCGGGAGAGAAAAAGCAGCAGGAGCAGCTACCCCAGTGACAGCGGGTCCTGGCCGCGCCAGCACTTTGTACACGTGCATTCTGTATTCCTGCTATTTTCACGCTGCACGCTGCCTGTGTACACACAGCACGCACGCCTGCTAGTGCCCACACATTATCTGTAACGTCCGTATTCAGCCTGTGCACATGGATGCTCCTGGCCTGCGTTTCAGAGCAAACACCACAAAACTGAAGAGAGAGGTCACCTGGCTGGGGACCCTCCCCGAGTGTTGTGTCTGGGCAGGAAGGCTCCCGTCCTCCCCCGCACGCCTGCTAGTGCCCACACATTATCTGTAACGTCCGTATTCAGCCTGTGCACATGGATGCTCCTGGCCTGCGTTTCAGAGCAAACACCACAAAACTGAAGAGAGAGGTCACCTGGCTGGGGACCCTCCCCGAGTGTTGTGTCTGGGCAGGAAGGCTCCGTGCGTCCTCCTCCTCCTCCTCCTCCTGAAGCGGAGGACCACGGCTCCTGCGAACACCCCTCTGCTCTCCAGGGTTGCCCGCTGACAGGCTACAAACACACCCGAGCCCTTGCAGGGCTCAGTTTGCCTTCAGCAGTTAGCCACAGCCCACAATCACTGCCCCTGTGCTTAAAAAGAAGCAAACAAAATCCCCTCCCTCTCCCAAACTAGCTTAATTAGAAATTAGCCTGTTAGTTAATTACCAGAACTATAAAACCACTATAAGCAACACTGGCAAAAAAGGATCAAGACCTTGAAGGGAGTCTCTATAGAAGCTGAAGGTAAGAAGTGCTTTTTAGTCTATCCTCTTAGCATGTACTCATTATTTCTCACATACTAATTTATTTAAATTATCTTTAAGGAAAAAGCATTTTAATCCCTTAAAGAAAACTTTCCTTCTAGACTGACCATACAGCCCTCCCTTTATAGTAAATTCAGGAGCTCTTTATTTCTGCTTTTAATGCATTCAGCGTAACAAATGGTTTTAGACCACAGTAGCTGCCTTCCCCTTCCCTGACCTGCCCTCTTCCCTCTGGGGGTGGCTGGAAAGCAGCTGCTGACTGAGCCGATGGTGAGAATCACCTCCTAGATGGAGGGGGAGCATGAAGGAAAATCCTGCCCATGGAGCAGAAGGCAGGGGTGTACGGCATGTCAGTGGCCAGGGGGGCCCATCCCGAGGACTTCCCTCGGTGCCCTATGTGGGCTGTGGGGACCCCACAGGTCTGCAGGTGGGGGATACCATGTGTGGGGCTAAAGGCAAGATGAGAGCTGCTCTTCAACCTCTCCCATCCTAACCAGAGCCCACTTCTAGCGCCTCCATCTCAAAGGGGCTGAACTCTAACTGGGGTTAACGGTCCCCTGACTCAAGGAACAAGGATAAAGTGTCTTATATCTCTGGGGAAAACCAGCTCCACCTTAGTACTGGCAGGTGGGGGATACCATGTGTGGGGCTAAAGGCAAGATGAGAGCTGCTCTTCAACCTCTCCCATCCTAACCAGAGCCCACTTCTAGCGCCTCCATCTCAAAGGGGCTGAACTCTAACTGGGGTTAACGGTCCCCTGACTCAAGGAACAAGGATAAAGTGTCTTATATCTCTGGGGAAAACCAGCTCCACCTTAGTACTGCTAGCAGATCTCTGGGGAAAACCAGCTCCACCTTAGTACCACTAGCAGATGGAGAGGTTTACTGAGACTCTTTACACCCAGGGGTACAAAGCTAAGAGTAGCAGTATACAGGCTGAGGCTGAATAAATACTACTCTAAGGAGGCTCCATGATGACCTCTGAGCAGTAAACAGGCCTTGGTGCAATTGTGTTGCTCTAGAAGACAAAGACAGGCTGGACGCCTGCCTATCCTGGATCCCACTCAGCTCCTCGCTCTCCTAAGCAAGACTGAGACAGGATTTTTGCAGCAGATCAGTTTAGCTACTCTAAGTTTGCAACTCATTAGTGAACAGTAATGAATAATAAGACGTTTATTCTAACAGGGACATCCTGGTCTCCATAAGCCTGACAGTGGTGGGAATCTGCACCATGCTGTCCACCAAGAGGCATGGTACCAGCATCCTGACCATAAAGGAAATCCTGGAAAATGGGTTTGTGGCTGGGGCCTCCAGCCATACCCATTCTTCTCCTGTCCACAGTTATTACACGGACAATAGCAGTGCCTCCAAACCAGACACCTGGGAGTTTCTCATGGACCTGGACAACGTAACAAAAGGCAGTTCCCTGTGTGTCGTCAAGCAGTCGGAGTCTCTGAGCAGCTGTGTGAAGACCGACCCGCACAGCCTGACCCAGGGTGTCTCCGACCTCAGCCTTGTCTGCTTCTGCAAGACCCACCATAGTCAGGCTGCCTTTGACCTGTCTGGTTTGCCTTGTGAGCACCCCAGCAGAGCCGGCTGCCTGATGGACGTGGCATCGCAGAACACCTCAACGCCATGCAAGAAAGAGAAGCACCCCAAACCACTGGAGAGCCTGCTCTCCAAGAGCATTGAGCTCACTGGTGACCTCTCAACCCTTAGGAAGACACCAGCACCCAGATGGGAGATCTCGGCAATAAAAGCCCCCCTGGACACCAGCCTGTCCCTTGATGTGAGTGCTGAGGAGTTAAAGTTATTGGGATGCTCCAAACCAGACACGCCATCCCTGGAGACCTCTGTAGTAATTCCTCTGGCTTGGCCTGGTGCCTTCAAGAGGCACCCTATGCTGATCCACAGGTCTGCCACCCCTGAGACCCAGCTGAGCGATCTGGAGCCCATCCCTGTGTTTCTGCACCAGGCTCTGTGACGCTGCTGCCCGGGCTCCACGCCGGAGCACGGTGGGCTGCCAGCCCAGGGACCTTCTGTGCTGCAGAGGAGCACGGTGCACAGAGCCACCATCCACGCTGCAGCACAGAAGATGAAGCCCTCCTGCCCTGTCCCGAGCCAGGGGCTTGCTTGCTGATGGCACCACCTGGTGAAAGGCTAGCTCTTCCAGCCTGGGGCGACTGAAACGGCAAACTGCTTGGAGCGCTGCTGGTGGAGGAAGCTTAGGCTGTTGATGGCAGCCCCTGAAAGCTAGCACCGGCTAAGCCAGCAGCCCTACTGCC